ATCTGCTTCCGCGCAAAAACTAAAAAGGAACAACACAGAAAGAACAAACATCAAACATAATGGCCACCCTCGTCTCATGGAACTGTCGCGGTTTCCACCGAAATTTACTTGACATCAAAGCTATAATCAATGCGTTATCATCCTGTGTGCTTAGGCAATACAAGGAAACAAATCTGAAACCAGAACAACATGCAAAACTTCGGAGGTTTTCTCTTCGTCAGGAAGGATAACCTTGCAGGTGAGCGTGCCAGTGGAGGTGTAGGTCTCCTCACCTCACTGGACTATCCCTTAAGTTCCTTTCCTTTGACGACATCTCCTCCAAGTTGTCGCTGCTGTACAAGTAAATTTTCATATTGTAGGTTTCAGTCGTTTCTCTTTATTTGCCTCCAAATGAACACATTGATCAGCGGGATTTTTAAATGACCTTGTGAGCTCAGCTGCCTGAGCCTTTTATCATAATGGGAGATTTTAATGGCCATAGTCCGTTGTGGGGAAGCAAAGACACCAACTTGCACGAGGAAGACAAATTGAGCAGATAATTGAAGATCATAGCCTTTGTCTCCTGAATAATGGGCAGGATACTTACTTCCATGAACCTACAAGGACATTCCACGCTCTTGATCTAGCCATCTGTTCACCATCTCTGTTGCCATTTTGCGACTTTTAGTGTCGGAAAGTGATCCGTTTAACAGCGATCATTATCCCATTCTTTTATATCTTGCACGAAGAGGAGCGAACCCACGTCGAGACTCCCTCGGTTTATACTGGATAGGGCAGACTGGGAACTCTTCTCTTCCTCTGCAGAGCTCACACAGAAAATGGTAGAAGATGTGCTTATCGATGATACAGCTGGTTGAAGCAGTTACTAACTACTATTGCTTCAGGCAGCTATGCTTTCCATTCCTAGAACATCAGGAAAAAAACTAAAATATTCGAAACCGTGGTGGAATCGCGACTGTCATGAAGCACTGAAAAAAACAGAAAAAAGCATGGGGTATTTTTCGTAGATATCCTACTCTGCGAAACCTCATAGCCTTTAAAAAGCCAAAGCAAATGCACGAAAAGTAAGAAGGCAGAGCCAGAGGGATTCCTGGATTTCATGTGTCCTCAATAACATCCTCTACGCCTAGTAAGCGGGTTTGGGAAAGAGTTCGAAAAGCATGCGGAATGTATAAAGACCACTCACTTTCCTTTCTGGAAAAAGATGGCCGAGTGATGAGCTCCATAGAAGAAATTGTAAATACTATTGGTGAGACATTTGCTGCCGTTTCTTCAAGCAGAAACTATTCACCTGCATTTCTCTCTATCAAGCAACACTCTGAAATAAATCCCATCGCATTCAACTCTTCCAAATCTGAGCCTTACAATAGAGACTTTACTATGCTTGAATTAAGGAGTGCTTTATTGCAGACACATAGGTCTTATCCGGGTCTTGATGGAGTGAATTATGAAATGCTAAAGCATCTGTCCTGTAAGTCACTGAATGTCCTTCTCACTCTTTACAATAGTGTGTGGAAGGAGCGTGCCTTTCCCAGTGCATGGAGGAGAGCTGTTGTCATTCCTATTCCTAAGCCAGGGAAAGATCCAAGGAATCCCTCCAACTATCGGCCAATTGCCCTTACGAGTTGCCTCTGCAAACTGTTTGAAAAGATGGTAAACAGCCGCCTAGTCTACTTCTTGGAAAAGAATGATATTATATCGCCTTATCAGAGTGGTTTTCGAAAGGGAAGAACAACTGTAGATAACATGCTCCTCTTAGAGACATCTATTCGAAAAGCATTTGTAAGAAGAAGCCACCTTGTCTCGATATTCTTCGACATTGAAAAAAGCTTATGATAAGGCATGGAGATACGGTATACTCCGGGATCTTCACGAGAGTGGCTTGCGCGGCAACCTACCAATTTTCATTCAAAATTTCTTGAACACTAGAACTTTTCAAGTAAGAATTGGCTCTGTTTTTTCGGATGTTTTTTGAACAGGAAGAGGGTGTGCCTCAAGGCTGTGTGCTCAGTGTAACCCTGTTTAGTTTAAAAATAAATTCTGTACTTAAAAGAACTTCCTCCCACCATCTTGGGATCTCTCTATATGTTGATGATCTGCAGATTAGCTGTCGAGGAGCAGACATGAGATATGTAGAGAGGCAACTGCAGATGGCTCTGAATAAGATCCAAGAATGGTCAGACAAACAGGGATTTACATTTTCGAAACAGAAAACTGTGTGCGTGCACTTTTGTAGGAAGCGAGGTCTCCATCCTGAACCTGAGTTATATTTGAATGGTACAATTATTCCAGTTGCGCCTGAAGTAAAATTTTTAGGAGTGACGTTCGACCGAAAATTGACTTTCCTTTCTCATGTTTTAAAACCTGAGAAAGAAGTGTCTAAAAACACTAAATATTTTAAAAGTGTTGGCGAACACCTCCTGGGGTGCAGAGCGTTGCTCCATGCTTCGCATTTACAGAGCGCTCGTCCGCTCTAAACTGGACTATGGCTCAGTTGTTTATGGATCCGCTCGGTCATCTGTTTTGTTAAAACTGGATCCTGTTCACCATCAAGGTCTGCGGATTTGTTCAGGAGCTTTCAGGACTTCTCCTGTGCAGAGCCTATATGTTGACTGTAACGAACCATCACTTTATCCGAGGCGTGAGCAATTGTCCCTTTTGCAATATTTTAATACTCTATCTCAACCTGAACATCCCAATAAGCTGTGCTTACTTGATAATGAGTGTAACACATTATTTGAAACACGTCCATCCTGTGTTCCTACTTTCCCTTTAAGAGTTCGCCCTGTCATTGAGGAACTCTTCCTCTCTGATATGCACCCCCAAGCAGTACAGAATTTTGAAATTCCACCTTGGGAAAATTCACGGATCCAGCTTCTTGATGTTTCTAAACATCACGTAAAGGCCAGCACTAATGAGATCGTTTACAGACAAATTTTCGCTGAGCACAGGCACAAATATAGCAGTTATCATCCGATATACACAGATGGTTCAAAGTCAAATGATCATGTCGGGATGGCTTTTGTATTTGAAGATTACATAGAGGGCAGATGCCTGCACCATGCTTTCTCAGTCCTAACATCTGAACTAACTGCAATATATTATGGTCTTTTGTACATCTCAAAGCTCTGCCACAAAAAGTTCATAGTTTATACAGACTCGTATAGTGCTCTTAAATCCTTGGAAGCTTTTCCCAACACTCAGAATCCTGTGGTAGTGGATGTTCTCAAAATTCATAGAAATTTAACGATACGAGGATATGAAATCCTGTACTGCTGGGTTCCCGGGCATACGGGAATAAAGGGAAACGAGCTTGCAGACATCGCGGCAAAATCTGCTGTCGAACTGTCCAGTCGCCTTATCCCTTTTAGAGACATCTGCTGTGTCATCAAGGGAAAGATACGAAAAAAAATGGCAGCAAATTTGGGATGTTCAGCATCACAACAAGTTGAGAAACATCAAGCCTAGAATTGAGCATTGGGATTTTGCTGGAAATCGTAAAGAGGACGTTCTTTTGACTCGACTCAGAATTGGTCACACCAGAGTCACACATAGCTATCTTCTCAAAGCTGAAAATGAGCCTGTTTGTTTTAATTGTAATGTTTGTTTATCTGTTCGTCATATTTTAATTGAGTGTCCATGTTTTAATAGTCTTCGCCAGAAATATTTTAATAGCTGTGACTTACCTCTCGACCGTTTAATCGGAAGAGAGGTCAATTCTAATTTATTTTATTATTTAAAAGAGATTGGCTTTTATTACCAAATGTAATTTGTTTTGAAGACTGTGTCTTGAATGTTAATATGTGCTTTTAACTTGTTTTTATATGACTTCATCCTCTGGATTTGGTACATTTATCTACTTGTTTTTATTTATTGAATTTTAATGTCATCAATTGTAATCATCTCATCTTTTGTTTGGCGCGTCATAATCATCTCTGGTTTTTGCGCCATAATCACTCACTCACTCACTCACTCACACTCCCGTGACTACTCCTCCGGAAGTCGACGTGACCCCCTTCACAGCTTCGGAAGTAGCATCCAGACTGCGATCTGCTGAGAATACTGCTCCTGGCCCTGATCGCCTGACCTACCACCACTGGCGGTCCATGGATCCCGATGGAAAAGTCCTCGCCTTGGCATTCAACATCTGCCTTAAAGCTCGGAGAATCCCGGATGCCTGGAAGGAGTCCACGTCAATACTTCTACACAAAAAAGGGGATAAAGATGAGGTGTCCAACTGGAGACCTATTGCACTGAGTTCAACCATCGTCAAACTCTTCACTGGCTGCCTTGCGCGACGTTTCTCAGCATGGCTCATGGAGAATGGTATCCTGTCTCCTGCACAGAAGGGATTCCTACCCTATGATGGGGTATTCGAGCATAATTACACTCTTGAGCAAAGACTCCGGAATGCCCGCGCTCGAAGGAAGAAATATGCATTGCGTCCCTGGATATATCTAATGCATTTGGCAACATCCCACATGAAGCCATATTTTCTGCTCTGACGACATCGGGAGCCGGACGTCACTTTACCGATTTAATAAGGTCCATCTACTTAGACGCCGCCACCAGATTTCTATGCCAGGACGCCATCACCGACCAACTTCCTATCAAAAAAGGGGTACGACAAGGTTGCCCCCTCAGTGGACTATTGTTTAATCTTGCAATTGATCCAATACTGAGGGCGGTTCAAACGACAGCGGATGGTCACCAAGTACTGGCGTACGCTGATGACCTGCTCCCTCTTGCCAAGTCACCCGAGGAACTACAGCGTTATATTGACCTCGCTGCCTCACTAGCTTCCAGGCTGTCTGAGGTTTAATCCGACGAAGTGCACCTCGCTACATCTATCCGGAAAGCCACCAATCGGCACGAGGAACTCTTTATTTACCATCTATGGAGAGGCTATCCAGTGCCTGAATGATGGAGACGCCACTGCTTTCTTAGGCAAACCGGTCGGCTTCCAGCTACCCCCTGATGAGAATGCGCTCCGAAGTTACATGCGATCCTGCAATATTCTGCTGTCATCGAAGCTTGCTCCCTGGCAACGAATAGATGCATTGAAAGCATTCTTTTATCCTGCTCTCGCATTTGATATGCGAGTTGGTCGGCTCCGGAAAGGTGACTGGTCAAGATTGGATGACTTCGCCCGCCCCCTACTGAAGGAAACGCTGAACGTTCCACCGGAGGCTGCGAATGAATACCTTTATGGTGATACTGAAGCAGCCTGCCTTGGAATCCCACTTGCAAAAGAAGACTCAGACATCGCTCGGGTGGAAGGGGCATTCAAACTCCTGACATCGAACGATCCTGATGTCCGGAACCTTGCCTGGGAGGATCTGACACAGTTTATCTCCATGAGGATCCGTCGCCCACCCACTAGTGAAGAGATTGCTGCCTTCCTGTCGGCGGCTGACATTGGTCCGTTTCAAGGGACAAGCAATGCCTCCTCTTCACCCTGGTCTGCTGCACGTGCAGCCTCACGGCGACTTGAAACATCATGGACGGTGACAGATGACCGCTCTATCTCCATCACCCTAGGTGGCAGCTCTATCGACTCTTCGAAGAGACATCTCCTGTTTCGCACACTACGAAAAGCGAAACGTTCCAGCCGTTCTGCCAAACTGATTGCTTATCCCAGTCAAGGCAAAGCAGTTGAGTGTGCTGCAGCGGCTAAAGCCAGCAACCACTTCTTCCGAGAGGGTACTTACACCAGGTTCGCCGACTGGCGCTTCATACACCGTGCCCGGCTAAATCCTGTGCCCCTCAATGCGAATAAACGCAACAACGCTGGTTCGAAAGGATGCAGAAGATGTGATCGCCCGCTGGAAACTCTACCGCATGTGGCCGGTCACTGTATGCGATATAGCCGCCTGTATCAGCAAAGGCATAATGCTATTGTGGAAAGATTAAAAAAGGCCGCTATGGGACGATGGGACGTGGAATCGGAAACTCAGGTTGTTCCCGGCACAAACCTTAAACCGGATCTTGTTCTATCCAAGGACAGCTCGGTCATGATAATCGATGTCACTGTACCATTCGACAACAGGTTGGCCTCTTTTGAAGCTGCCAGAAGAGAAAAGGAAGAAAAATACACTGCGGTAGCTGAGCAACTCCGTGCAAGATTTGCTGACGTCCGTGTCGAGGCAATTGTAGTTGGTGCCCTGGGGGCTTGGGACCCCAAGAATGACCGGATTATCCGCCGACTATGCAGCAAAAAATACGCCACCACGATGCGACAGCTGATCGTCAGTGACACCATTAAGAGTACGCGGGACATATACATCGAGCACCTGACTGGTCAACGCCAGGTCCCTTGGCGGGAGCGTGACAGACCAAACAACCAAAGGCAAGAAGACAATCAAACCATAGGATAGAATAACTGACAAGAAAAGGACTCTTAGGAACTCACTTCCCAGATAGTCTGTAGATACGTGATCGGAAATAATGGAACTGACACATCATGTACATATATGTAAAATTACAATTGTTATGCTTATATTTTTAGTACATAAATGATTATCGACCAAAAATCGCATTGCATGCGTTATTGATGGATTTTGCCATGGTCCAATCAATATAATGTAAAATGGCAATTAACATTGTGTAAATTAAAAAAAAATTTTCTGTTCTTATCAGCTTAATATCTGATACAACGTCGACATGACGTCAAGATATTAAACTAATTTTTGCAGATAGGCTTGTACAAGGTACAGACAGTGAGCACAACATATTAGCCTATGCTGATGACCTTCTAATTCTCGCACCATCTCCTGCCGCCCTTCAATCCCGTATTGACATCGTCACAGACTCCTGCAGCGCTCTCGGCCTCTGCCTCAATCCATCGAAGTGCTTCTCCATCCACCTCTCTGGATCCCGACCTGTGGGCACGCGACCGACCACCTTCCGCGTGAATGGGACTCCAATCCACCAGCTCACCGATGGAGAAGGTGCTGAATTTTTAGGGAAGCCGATTGGTTTCCAGCTACCGACGGACATTGCAAGCCTCTCCTCCCACCTCGACGCTTGCCAGAAAATAATGGATTCACCCCTTGCCCCATGGCAACGCATTGACGCTATCAAGGCCTTCTTTTTTCCTGCACTCGCCTTCCACATGAGAACCGCCAGACTGAAAAAGACTGACTGGACCCGCATCGACGACTGCCTGCGACCGCGTCTCAAGGCGACTCTGAATGTCCCCCAAGAGGCTGCAAATGAATACCTCTACGGAGATCAGAATGCTGCATGTGCCGGAATACCGTTGGCTGCGGAGAATTCGGACATTTCCCTTGTTGACGGGGCATTCAAACTACTTACATCCCGTGACCCAGTGACACGCAACATCGCCTGGTTGGATCTTCGCTCCGTAGTCGCCAATAGGACTAGACAGGAAGTCTTCAACTCCGACCTTGCTGCCTACCTCTCTGGTTCTGATGAAGGATCCTTCCGCTTCCCGTCAAGTTCTTCTTCCTCCACATGGTCTCTTGCTCGCTCTGCTTCACGTCGCCTGGGCGTCACCTGGTTCTTCGAATGATGAGGAATACGTCTCTCTCTCTCATGCCGATGCTACCATCCTGGCCAGTTCCCGCAGGAAAGTGTTCAGGACCATTCGTGAACAGCAGAAGAAAGCACGCACAGAGAAACTCCTGTCGTACCCTAACCAGGGGAAGGCAGTGGAATGTGCTGCAGCCGCTAAGGTCAGCTCCCACTTCCTACGCGATGGCTCCTTCACCCGGTTCGCTGACTGGCGTTTTGTCCACAGAGCGAGGCTCAATCTCGTTCCCCTCAACGGCGTTCGGAACTTCAACAACAATTCCCGTGGTTGCAGGAGGTGTAATTACGAATGTGAGACTTTACAGCACGTCCTTTGCCATTGCATGCGGTATAGTCGTCTATTCCAAAAAAGGCACAATGACATCGTGGACCGCATTAAGAAGGCAGCTTCTGGACGGTGGATCATTAATGCGGAGAACCACTCATTTGCCGGTCTTTCCCTGCGCCCTGACCTCATTTTGACAAGAGATGGCACTTGTCTAATTCTGGACGTCACTGTCGCGTTCGAGAACCGTCTGTCTGCATTAATACGCGCCCGACAAGAGAAGGAGTCTAAATACCAGCCACTAGTGGAACGGCTCAAGGAACGCTTTAGCAAGGTACGCGTGGAGGCCATCGTTGTAGGCGCATTAGGCTCTTGGGATCCCCGGAACGACAGAGTAATCCACCGCATATGCTCAAGAAAGTATGCTTCCCTCATGAAAAAACTCATTGTAAGCGATACCATCCGCACATCAAGGGACATCTATGTTGAGCACCTAACTGGAGAACGGCAGATACCGTGGCAACACAGACAAAACACGCCTCGTCCTACCAACTAAAAGCCGCATAACATTGAAAAGGATGTATAAGTGTTACGCTCCTCCCTTTGTTGTTTGTAAATATGTATATAAATGTTATTGCCAAAACCGCACTGTGTGCGTTTTATCCTGCTTAAACTATGTAAATGGCAACAATAAAAAATCTGTTCTTATCAGCTTAATATCTGATACGACGTCGACATGACGTCAAGATATTAAACTAATTTTTGCAGATAGGCTTGTGGTTAGGAATTTATTCCGCCCTCGCCACGGGTTGGCCTGCTATGGCACTACTTGCAGGATACGGCCCACAATATATCCAAAAAGCAGAAACTTCACTCCCCCACTGCATCCTCAGGAAAACGTCCTTTTAAAATGGCCCCTTCAAATTTCAGAAAACCGAAGGTCTGACAACATCATACCTTTGTACGAGTGTGCGGCGACCTGCCTTTTTTTTAACTTGATATTGCTCGGGCCCCTCGTTCTTTTCCTCGGAATGGGAACATTCTGGAGCCTCGGGTTTAACCCTCGTTCTTTTCAGTGTCAAGTTCTGGTTTCTGTAAATACGAAGTTTTATTCGTATTTACAGAAATCCCATAAAATCCACATTTTTTTCCCGTACTGTTAACAACTTACTCATTCTGTCTGACTGATTGAAGGAAGATCGGCCTCGAAATATCACTCAAATTTCATTTGCAGTAACATTTTTGTCTCATTTCATGTAAGTTTGAGAGAATTCCTATTCACATTTGCCAGATCTTTCCCACTACAGCGCGCGTATACACATTGCTTCTTTCAACACACGAGCCTTTTTATTGTAAATAACTCTCAAAAGGGTGTAAAATGTTTGTAGGCACACTGCAGCAACAAAGATTTTTCTGTCTGTTTCCTAATGTTTTGTTTTGATTCTCTGTATGATTTCTAAACGCCAGCTAATTGTAATGGTCTACAATTATTGTTAAGGATTGTTGTATTTATGTTTTTATTCATTCATTTATTTTGTTGTTGGCACATTAATATTAACAAACGGGAAAATGCCAATAGATGGCTGCACTATGCAGGAAGCAGTTTATTCTGAGTTTTGAGATGGCTTGCCCGCCACTAGTGTGGAAGTGTAGAATACAAAGTAATCATTAATTGTAAATTAAAAAGTACTGTTTTATTGTACATATTACAAATTAATTTGTAAAGTGTTTTTTGTAATTTTTCTGTTTGTTTAATTGTTTTAAGTTCCTAATATTTCACTCTGTGTTTTCAAGTGCAACGTTTGAACTGAAGAGAGAGAGAGAGAGAGTATCTCTGAGTTGGAAACCATGTGCTGGACTGTGCATGTCGAGTTTGTGTCAATCAAACTCTGGCATTATGTAATGCAGTTTTGGCTGATAAATTTTACTGTCTCAATATTTGTTTAATCACAAAAAATAATTTCTTCCCAAGCATGGGCATTCGATAACTCCAGGAATATTTATTTATTTATTTTTGGTTTTGCTATTTTTATTGCCTTTGTAATTACATTTGTTTTATATTCACCTGCAGTGAAGAATGAGATTTTTCGGAGGAGGAAGCTACTCCAGAGAAATGAACACTTTCATGAATATTTCATTGTCCTCTTTTCCCATCTGAAAAAAAATTGAGAAAATACGAGAATATTATGTTGCATGGTGCATAAGCTTATAAAAGCTGGAGGAAAAAACACCGGAATTCAGTTGTTTACTTACTGCTGTTATTGACTGTAGCGATTTCGCGTTGAGATCGGATTAACTTTTTCTACTTTGAATTTTGTTCCGGCCAACGTTTCCGTAAAACGTCCAATATAACTACTGTAAGTTATTGCGATATTGTAGAAATATCTGTGAGGATATTTCAGCATTGTGGTTCATTTGCTGTAGTAAGAATAAAATTTGCAATTGAATCTTGAATGAAATGAACTTTTGACGTCCTTGGCTTTTTAAAACTAGCCCCGCCCAAGGAGGAGGGGACTGACGCCTCCAGAATGGGAACATTAGAAAGGACCGCAAAATGATCCACTTGACTAGACAGAAATTGGTCATCCTTGTACACCCTCTTTTTTTGTAACACAGGAGGAGGATGAAATAACGACATATCATAAAAAACCCCCAAGCAGCACTCGCTAACCTGAGTCTTCTGCACCCCCTTCTCCCCCTGCACGAATGCTCAGGACTTTTGAAATATGAAAAATTGAAAGTGAATTCATCACGCCACAGAATTCTGCATCGCTTCTCGGCCTTTTGGCTAAGATCAAAGTGTAGTAAATCGGTCGTTGCCGATACTTTTTCATCTTTTTTACCGGACTGATCCTTTTTTCCAGGAAAAGTGGTGGACAACGACTGAACGATGTCTTCGCCTCCCCGTTTCGCTGTTCGCCCGAGACCCGCCCACCGCCTGGAGTTCGGAGCCCTGGATCCCGTTCGCCTCCCGGAGCTGCTGGTACCACTGGAGCCGAATTTGGAGCACCACCTGGAGCTGCCCTTGGAGCTACCCTTGGAACCCAAGCCAGAGCCGCTTTTGGAGCCCAAGCTGGAGCCGCCTCTGGATCCGGAGCTGCCTTTGGAGCCCAAGCTGGATCCGCCCTTGGAGTTCATGCCGGAGCCGCCCCTGGAGCAGAAGTCGGAGCCGCCATTGGAGCACAAGCTGCAGCTGCCCTTGGAACCGGTGCTGGAGCCGCCCATGGAGTGCAAGCTGGAGCCGCCCGTGGAATGCAGGCTGGTGCCGCCATTGGAGCCCATGGTGGAGTCGCCCATGGATTGCAAGCTGGAGCCGCCCGTGGAATGCAGGCTGGTGCCGCCATTGGAGCCCATGCTGGAGTCGCCCATGGATTGCAAGCTGGAGCCGCCCGTGGAATGCAGGCTGGTGCCGCCAAGGAGCCCATGCTGGAGTCGCCCATGGATTGCAAGCTGGAGCCGCCCGTGGAATGCAGGCTGGTGCCGCCTTTGGAATGCTGGCCGGAGCTGCCGTGGGAATACAAGCTGGAGCCACCGCTGGAACGGATGCTGGAGCCGCTCGTGAAGCTGGAACAGCTGTTACAGCGCCGACTGGAGCTGCCGTAGGAGCCCATGACGACACCACCCATGGAAGTGGAATCCCTGACGTTGTACTTGGAGTCCCAGGATGCGCCCTTCAAAGTCGTCAGTACGCCGCTGAAACCCCGGTCCGAACTGACGGAGGTCCTGTTGCTGCTGCCACTCAGGTGACCGGAGTTGCCGCTGCCGCCCTTGGAGCCGTCCCGAATACTCCTGCAGTTACGGCTGCCGCTCATAGGTCCGCCGCTGGAGTTCCCCTGACCGTCACTGGATCAATTGATGCCTCTCCGTTAGGTTCTGCACATAGAATACCTGCCCTTCCCGTAGTCGCCAATGGAGGTTCCAGTGCCACTCATGAGCCTACCAGAGCCGATGTGTATTCCGGACTCACAGCTGTGAACCATTGTGAGAATCCTAACGGGCCCATCCTAGCAGGCGGTAGCATCCCTGCTACCGTCGAGTCGTCCGCCAGAAGTGTTCGTGCCAGCAGCAACGTATGCACCGTCGCCGACGAAGCCACGCCTACCAGGTCAGCTACTCTGCCCAGACATGTGCCCGCTTTCGTGACACCCTCTGGACCGCCCCTCAATAAAGGAGGACACCTACGTCAACTTCTCGAGAGATACAAGCCAAGACTCCCTGCCGCACGAAGCTCCAACCTGTGGATACGTCTCCGCATAATCACCAAGGGATGCCGGCAGCTTCACCACTCGACTCGTGTTCTCCAACGGTCTCGCCCACCACGGTTGTGCAGTCTACACTCCCACCTGCATTTACGTCTGCGGAGTGGAGTGCAAGAGCAGGAGGGGCCTCAGGAAGCATATGAAGACGCACGTGCAAGAGAATGACATCTAGCCCTGCCCACCTCCTGACAATGGACTTGCCACTGCCGTCTCTGGGCCACTTGTCTCTCCCGTATGTCATCATACGCGAGCTCGGACAGCCGCCGGGCATGTCTGCCCTTCAGATACCGTCCGGACCTCAGCCCCACGCACATATGCTGAAGTTGTCGGATCTCCGCCCACAATAGTGAGCTCCACAAACTCCTCCCCAGATCGCCCTGCCTGCACACCGGTCGCCTCTGCTGCAGAGATGCAGACTCCAATGTCCGCAGCACCTACTAGAGCGACGACGACGACACCACAGCCCCGCCCACCAACGGGGACCTGCCTCCCGTAAACTTCAAACTCTACTCTCCCAGCCAGCTCCGGATCTAAGAGGAAGCAGCTGCCGTTCCATCGATACAACCGTCACCGACATGCTCCACCTCCCGCCTCTCCCGGAGCCGACGACTTTGTTTCCTCACCTCCTGAGACTCGGAGTGACGCAGCTTCATCGCCGCCTATTGCTCTGGAACATCCATCCTCCGCTCTCGGGTCTTCACCTCCGATGCCAGCATGCGTGCCAAATGGGCGTACGACTCCAACGTCACCCGACAGACATGTTCTGGTCCTGTGCCCGACCCCATCGGAAAGAGATGAGTTGCGCCTCGTGGATACTTCTCCAAATGATGCTGCACAGCCTCCTACCGACCGTGCTGCTTCAGAAGATGTGTCACAGACGCAGCTTACAGGAGCTACACAACTGCGGTCTCCAGAACCCGATGAATCCTGCCCATCTGCCACCTGCCGACGCGGGAGTATTGTGCATATCGTCTTCCCTGTTCTCGACACACTCCACTGCACGGAGCAAGGTTGCACCAGGACGTTTCATTCGAGGCAATGGACTCAGCTCCGACATTCGCTCTGCAGACACCTCGCGTATTCCCACGGAGTCAATGTTGAGGCGACAAGGAATTGGTGCTCGCACTGTACATCACCCATTGCTGTGAAAGTATCCACACACACCTGCTTCAGATCCCTCCCGGTGATGATGCGTTATGGGATCCTGCATCGCTGGAGATGTAACCTGTGTGACTTCTCGTGCCAGACACGTGGAGGCTTCCTAAATCACCAGGCCCGCCATCGACGCGACAGACAG